AGTGCTAGGATCACAGGGTGAGCCACCATACCGGGCCTGTAATTTTGTTCATTACAGAATTTGAATGTAGCGTTTAATCAGTTCATTTCACTGTATGCTAACGTATTATGAAAATTATGTTTTAAAAAATGTAGTTTTCTCTAGCAATCTTAGTAGCTGTCTTTTCCATGATAATTAACCTTTATTTAAAATGGACTGAAATACACGTAGTACTCCACATGGGGGTTCTTGTTCTTATTCGTTCTACCAAACATTTTCAATAGTTTTCCCTAGGATAGTGCAGGGGCAGATAATTCCATTACTCTGTTTAATTCGCACAATCTTTCATTCCATAAATGTTTCAAATTGTAAGGGTAATTACGTAATTAACACTCAAAATTTCTCAAAGGATCATAAATGTAACTCAAATATTTAAAATGATCAGGATGTGAAAGAAAGCACAAATCCTTAGAGACTGCATCCTGTACCCTAGATCTCCCAGGTTTAAACGCCTCACGCACTATCTGCGAACCTCTAAGCGGCAGCCTCTTGTGGGGGGACCTTGCCACTGGTTCCCTCGCACAGGGTATGGTCCCTCTGAGGGTCAGTTCCCCGCCCCACTCGGTGGGAGGAGTGAAGGCTCAATGACTTCTCAGGTGGCGACAAACAAGGTCGGCCAAAATGTCCTGCTCCTTGTAGGGCTCCCTGCCCGCTTACCTTGACCGGGTGCAGGTAGCCATCGCCGCGGAGGGCACTCAGACCAGGGTCAGCCGGCGCCTCGGCATCGTCCTGCAGGCTGCGAGTGAGGTGCGCGATGTAGGTGGTAGCCAGCAGCAGCACGTCCAGCTTGGACAGCTTGGTGTCTGGTGGCACTGAAGGCAGCGTGCGCTGCAGCTCCAGGAAGGCGTGCCGCAGGGTCTGCACGCGGCTGCGCTCCCGCGCCGCGTTCGCCGCCGCCGGCCGCCCGCCACCGGAACGTGCGCTGCCACCCGGGCCTGCCAATCCCGGCCCGGTCTGCCCAGGGCTCGAGTCGCGGGTGGCGGTGGCCGGGAGAGCGGGCTCGGCGCTGGTGCTCGGGCGGCTGCCCGTCGGGCGGCTGCAGTCCATGGCGACTTCCCGCGCCACGCGCGCTGCAAAGGACGAAGGCGCGGTCGGGCTAAGGGACTCCGCGCGCCCGCCGGACCGGGAGCAGGAGCGTTCTCAGGGCTCCTTTTGCCGGGGACACATTTTGCCTCCAGGAGTCTGGGGAGAACTGGGGGGCGGGGGGGCTCAGAGTTCCTACGCTCCTTAGAAGGAAGAGGAGAGTACGGTGGCGGCTTTACTTACCCAGGACGCTTAAGCGAATGGGCTCCTCCATCCAGGGAGAAAGGTCACCGAAGCGCAGCCCCGGCTGGACACTGGCAAGGTTATCTAGCCCACCCCGCAGGAAAGCTGGTGCCCGTCATCTTCGCCGACCTCTGTGGCACGCCAGCCGCCCCCAGGCCACTCGCGCGCGAGGGCACTTCTGCCTGAGGACTGGGAGACCCCTATCCTTACCTGGGACGAAGGCACCTGCTACCGCCCCGAGCCCGGGAACCGTGCCCTGCGAGTCGGACCAGGGCCCTTACCTTTCCTGGAACGTCGGTGTAGGGCTCGGCTCTGCCGGGCTAGAGGCGTCAAGCCGGGTTTGCGTGGCCTGCACCGCGCTGATCACTCTATCCTCGTCCAGCCGAAGCTGAGACCGACGGCCAACTTCTAGACCCCGCTGGCCGCGCCTTTTATGTGGGCGCCCCCGACGCCAGGCGACCGCTGGTCTGGGGGAGGTGGCTCCCACCGGAGGGGCTACACCCGGGCGGAGGCCGAGAGGAGCCGCCCCCTCCGCGGCGGGAGAATCATTAATCAAACCTCTCAGGGGGCGGGGCGAATCCAGGGAGGCGGGGCGAATCCAGGGAGGCGGGGCGGCCCCCGGCCCCGCCCCCCGGCCCGCGCCGCGCGGCTTTCCCTGAGCTACGCCCGGAGGGCGCTGCCAAGTTGGCTGCTGTGGGGCTGGGGTCGGGCTTCGGCCGGGTTTCGGACCTCCCTCGGCCGCTGTCCCACCTCCTCGGGGCCCCATCTGATTTCCGGCCTCGTCCAGGCCGGCTGAAGCGGGAACGCTGCCGTTTGGTTGAGTGTGACTTAATTTTCTGTGAGGAAATGTCGAGCTTGCCACATCGAGGCGCTACCCTCTTACTCTACCGCAAGGTAAACATTTCGTGCTGTCCCAGTTACCTAAAGCTGGAGTCCCTGACCAGTCAGTGGAGACGCTCGGGGGTAAACCGCGCTTCCGTCAAGACCCCGAAAGCTCCCTTGTGATACCTTAGTAAGTTCCCAAACCACAGTGGACAGCCCCGCGGCCGCGGTCGTGAGGACGTGAACTCTGGCGGGCCGCCTCCGTTATCCCCGTGGGGCCACCGCTCTTTGGTGTCATTATTTGAACGTAAAATTCCTTGATGGTTTTGCACTTGGAGACCTCCCGGGAAGCGTGGCTTACAAGCGGGGAGGGAGCAGATTCAAGGCTCCTTTGGAAGCCGGGCGCCGCCGCGCCGCGGTCACCCCGAGTCCTCCGCTGGTTCTGGACCCGTCGACTTTGCAGGGCGAAGTCTTGAGTGAATGCGCGATACTTTCTAGCGACACAGGACACGCTTGAAACAATGCCTCTAATTTAAAGAGCAGGACATTTTCTTCTCTGGGTTGAAAACGGAATATCAGGTTTAAAATGTCCCCAAAGAAACTGCTCTTGGGTATGCAACATTGTTTGATACTTCCCAGTAGAATTCTAAATTGGAACCGCTGTACCAGTCAGTAGTAATGGTGGGATTATTTCAATGTACCGACCCACACATTAAGTATATTGGTGAATCAGAATGGCCCTTAGTCTTTCATCTGCATTCTCGTCCAATAATTATAATTAGATTTACACTTTAGGAAGAAGCATACCAAAATTCCAGGATTTCTATTGCTGAATGAGAAAGCACATCTTTTCCCAGTAAAGTGTATATGAGGAGGAATAAAGCAATTACTAGAATCTTGAATTCACACGTGGAAAGCAATGTTTCAGATTTTATTAAGGAAATCAAAAAACTTACAGTTTTTTTTAATGTAATGAGGTATCAGAAAACTACAAACCCGCAAAAGATATTGTTACCTAGTTCTATAAAGTTAAAAAAAAATCAAACGTTTGAAATCACTTGAGGCTGAATTTACTCGCTTTCTATAACTTTTCTTTTACTTTTGGAATATGGAGGTGAGGTTCATGGACATCATTTTTTGTCAAGAAGCTTTCGGATTTTTTCAAAGAGAGATTCCTGTATTTATAGGGGAGAAAAAAGATAGCATTAAATTTAGAAAATTAAAGTATCACAAAAAAGGTAGCAAACGTATAGAATCTAGGACACAATAACAATAGTAAAGGCTAATGATTAATCACTAAACTGTATGGATCTTCTCAGGCTTTAAAGAAAGCAGAAACAAAGATTTTCCTCTGTTGGGAGAGGTATGGAAATAAGAATAGTGGAGGGAAGATGGACTAGAACTAAGGTGAGGCGAGGGAGGTGTCTGGGCACCTTAAATTTTGCACCCTTGGGACCTCACATGCCTCATCCTAACCCTGCTTGCTAGAGTCTCCTGTTCCTGTGGGTTAGAGGGACTACAGAGGCTCTTCACTGCTAACAGTGGCAGGACAGCAGCCGGCCATGTTGCCGATGTAAAAGAGAGCTCTGCAACCCCCACAGTGTCCTATCTACTGCTGTTCCAAGCAGCCTCTCTGAAGCCTGTGATGCTTGTGGAGTAGTCCTAATCCCTAAAGGAAACTTGTACTTGCCATTAAATTCAAAATATAAAAATCTTAAAAATTCTAACATTACATAAATAATTACTAACAGGTGCCACTCATTTAGCCCTTTATATGTGTTAAGTGCTTCAAAGGTATTTTCTAATTAAATCATTACAAAACTGTTTGAGAATTTTACATTTTACTTTCTTAGTTGAGAAAATAAAACTCAGAGGGATTAGATAACTTGCCCAGGCAAGATTACATAGCTAGTAAGTGTCACAGATAGGATACAAACCAGGCAAATTGACCCTAACACTTACGTTCTTTACCATACTATTCTAAGATTTGTAGAGTATTTTATAATTTGCAAAACGTCTTAAAATCTATTATCTCAATAAATGGCATACTTTAAATAATTTGACTTCCTATTAACAATCCAAATGCTATTTTTTTTTTTTTCGGGAGCTAGGTTTGAACCTGCCACCTCAGGCATATGGGACCAGTGCCCTACCCTTTTGAGCCACAGGTGCCGCCCTCCAAATGCTATTTTCATAGTCTATCTTTCTTAGCAGTTAATTGTCTAGTCTTCCAAAAAGTATGTGGCTTCACGATGCTGTAGATTTTATTTCACTGGCTACAATATAGGTCTTAAAATTATATCTTTTTTTCTAAATATGTCAAATGATTTGCAGTATTAACTTGTTAAGATCATCATAATGCAAAGTATACATGTATCAAATGTATATTTGATATAAATTTTTTTCTAAATATGTCAAATGATTTGCAGTATTGACTTGTTAAGATCTTCATAATGCGAAGTATACATATATCAGTGAGGAAAATGTTATATATATTAAAAATATAAAAATATGGGGTAGCGCTGTGGCTTAAAGGAGTAGGGCGCCAGCCCCATATGCCAGAGGTGGTGGGTTCAAACCCAGCCCCAGCCAAAAGCTGCAAAATATATATATATATACACACACATATAAATGTTTTATATGTATATGAAAAAATAGATTAATTGCTATTTTCTTTTGCCTTTCAACTATTTCTCTTATTGTTTAAATTAAACTATAATTTACATAATTAAGTTCACTGTTTAGTGTATAGTTCAGCAAATTTTGATAAACATATGCAGTCTTGTTAACCATCACTACAATAAAGATACAGAATATTTCCCTCACTTACTAAAATTTCTCTGTGACCCTTTGAAGTCAACCATTTTCCCTAGCGATGACTGATCTGTTTTCTGTCTCTGGTTTTTTCTTTGCTAGAATGTTATATCATGTAGCCTTTTAAGTCTGGCTTATTTCACTTAGCATAATGCTTTTGAGATTTTTCCATGTTGTTATTCCTTCTTATTGCTGAGTAATATTCCATTGTAGAGATGTACCACAGTTCTTTATCTATTCCCCAGCTGAGACATCTTTAGATTGTTTCCAGTTTTTGATGAGAATGAATAAAACATTATAACATTCAGGTACAGGGTTTTTTTTTGAGTATGGGCTTTCATTTCACTTGGGAAAATATCTAGGAGTGATACTGCTAGATGTAGTAAATGTATGTTTAATTTTACATGGCAAGCTTGGGCAACATAGCAAGACCTTATCTCTACAAAAAATAAAAAAAATTAGCTGGGCATGGTGGCACATGCCTGTACTCCCAGCTGCTCAGGAGGCTGAAGCATTATAATAGCTTGAGCCTAGGAGTTCTAGTTTACAGTGAACTATGATTGGCCACTGCACTCCAGCTTGCATGACAGAGCAAGAAAGACCCTGTAATGAAATTACTGTCCAAAATGTCTATATTGGCTGGGCCCAGTGGCTCACACTTGTAATCCCAGCACTCTGGGAGGCTGAGGCAGGCGGATTGCTTGAGCTGAAGAGTTCCAGACCAGCCTGAGCAAGAGTGAGACCTCTTCTCTACTAAAAATAGAAAAAACAGTTGGGTGTTGTGGGGGTTACATGTAGTCCCAGCTACTTGGGAGGCTGAAGCAAGAGGATCGCTCGAGCCCATGAGTTTGAGGTTGCTGAGCCCATGAGTTTGAGGGTCCCATGGCCCTCTACCAGAGTGACAGAGTGAAACTCTGTCTCAAAAAAAAAAAAAAAAAAAGTCTGTACTATTTTTGCATTCCCACCAGTAGTGCCTGTTGCTCCATATCCTAGCCAGCATTATTAGGTTGTTTTTGTCTTTTTCTTTATATCCATTCAAATAAGAAAGAAGATTGAGCCAATATTTTTTAAGTCAGATGATTTTACAATCTAGATATCTTGCTTACCAGCTGATATAATTTCTCAAGTTCACCATGTCCACCCAG